TAGAACTGGAGAGCCTGGACTGGTCAGATGAGCTCAGTGGTACACAAGTTGAAGAAACATGGCTTGGTTTCAAAAACAAATTCTCTGCAATACTCAATGATTTGGCCCCCCTAAGAACAACCAGGGTAAAAAATCGCGCTGAGCCGTGGATGCACTCCGGCATACTGACCGCCATGAAAACCAGAGACAAAAAATGCTCTGAGTTTCATAAAAGTCAGTCAATGCTTTCCAAAAGCACGAGCAGTGAACTCCAGGCCCACGTGACTGAACTAAAAATTGAAAGAAACAGACTAAGAAATGACGTAAGCTCCATGATCAAAACTGCCAAAAAGAATTTCATCAATGACAAAACTGAGGAAAACAAAAATAAACCCCGTGAACTTTGGAAATTACTCAATAACCAGCTTGGCTGCAGTAAAAAACTCAAAACGAGATTTTCAAACGTAAACATAAAGACAGATAACAGGCTCATCACAGACAAACTGGATGTGGCCAAGTACTTGAACATTTTTTTCACAAACATAGCCACAACTCTTGTAAATAAATTACCCTCCCACTCAGGGCTTTTTGGAGTAGATCACATCATGACCTACTACAAAAACCTAGGGGTACGCAAAGATGATTTCAGTCTAGCAAGGGTAACAACAGCAGAGGTACTCATTAAACTGAGCGCCCTCAAACCTAACAAGGCCACTGGCCACGACAATATCCCCTCCAAATTCCTCAGAGACACAGCAACCGCCATCTCACCAGTCATAGCTCACATAATTAACCTCTCCATAAAACAGGGAAAAGTACCCAAAGACTTCAAAATTGCAAGAGTAACCCCCCTGCACAAAAAGGGCAGCAAATTGGACCCAGGCAACTACCGCCCTGTTTCTATACTTACCTCCATCTCGAAAGTCATGGAAAAAATAGTATATGAACAGGTCGAAAAGTACCTCGCAGAAAAGAAACTAATCTATGAATTTCAATCTGGCTTTAGAACATCCCACTCCACTGACACATGCCTTCTTTATTTGAACGACCACATCAAACAAGAGGTGGACGAGGGTAAATACTGCGGCATGGTGATGCTGGACCTACAAAAGGCTTTCGACACTGTCAATCACCCCATTCTGATTGACAAGCTAAAAGCAATTGGTTTTGATAAACTATCGGTGAGCTGGATGCAATCCTACCTGGAGGGGAGAGAACAGATGGTGGAGGTAAACGGTACTCTGTCCCCCCCCCTCCCAGTGAGCTGTGGTGTTCCACAAGGAAGCATATTAGGTCCGTTACTGTTCCTAATTTATGCAAATGACATGTCATCAGCATGTGACTGCAACTTGTTCCTGTTCGCGGACGACTCAGCCCTGCTGGTCTCTGACAGGAGCAGATTGCAGGTTGAAAAAACCCTCAGCTCCGAGCTCGGCAGAATCTGCACCTGGCTCGCCGATAATAAATTATCATTACACCTGGGTAAAACAGAGTCCATTCTCTTCGGTTCGAAACATAATCTCAGCAAATCCGACGACTTCTCAGTTGCAGTGGGTGACATTATTGTCACAAGTAAGAAGGAAATTACATACCTAGGATCTATTCTTGAGGCAAACCTCTCCTGTGACAAAATGGCATCCAATGTAATAAAAAAAGTCAATCAAAGAACTAGATTCCTATACCGGATCTCCTCTCTGGTAAACAAAAACACCCTGAAAACTCTGGCAGGAGCACTCATTCAAGGGTACTATGACTATGCTTGCACGTCATGGTACCATAGCACCTCCAAGGCGCTAAAAATAAAACTTCAAACATCGCAAAATAAACTGGTCAGACTACTGCTTGACCTTTCATCTAGAACCCACCTCACCTCTGCCCACTTTGACAACCTAGGATGGCTTAGAGTAGACGACAGAGTACAGCTACTTGCAATGGGCCTGGTCTACAAGATCCACTACACCTCTATGGTACCCATGTACATGTCAAAATTCTTCCCAAAGGTCAAGGAATACCATGATCATAACACCAGAGGGAGCTCCACAAATCATGTAAAACCCAGATTTGGCACAAAAAAAGGGGAATACACGTTTCGCAATTATGCCACATCAAGGTGGAACGCTCTTCCCACAACTGTAAAGGAAAGTAAAACTATACTTACCTTCAAAACCTCTCTTAAAGAGCACCTTCGGGGGAAAGCATTGCAAAACTGGCCCCGGTAATGGTACAAATCTCAACCTGTCGTACAATGGACAGCTTCCCCCCCCCATCTATGTATATACTCGCATTTTAGACTCTGTTACTAACTGTATATCTGTAGACTTGGTATGTCTTAAATGTCCGGTTAGGATGTATTAGAACGAAATCTAAAATGAAAATTGTAAATAAGCCATCTGTATGTAAAAAACCACCTGTATGTAAATTGTAAATAAGCCATCTGTATGTCAAATATGTCTTATATGTCTTAAATGATATGATGAATTGGAAATGGGGGACCCTGATGTAAACAAGACGAAAGTCTTTCTCTGGTCTGCATCCCCTTAACAATTGTATGTTTTGAGCTGTACTGTACTGTACCCAATATACAAGCTGTTAATAAACTTTTCAATCAATCAATCAATCAACACTAGGCTACCAAGGATAGACACTAAGCTACCAAGGATAGACACTAAGCTACCAAGAATAGACACTAGGCTACCAAGGATAGACACTAAGCTACCAAGGATAGACACTAAGCTACCAAGGATAGACACTAAGCTACCAAGGATAGACACTAAGCTACCAAGGATAGACAGTAAGCTACCAAGAATAGACACTAAGCTACCAAGGATAGACAGTAAGCTACCAAGGATAGACACTAAGCTACCAAGGATAGACACTAAGCTACCAAGGATAGACACTAAGCTACCAAGAATAGACACTAAGCTACCAAGAATAGACACTAGGCTACCAAGGATAGACACTAAGCTACCAAGGATAGACACTAAGCTACCAAGGATAGACACTAAGCTACCAAGGATAGACACTAAGCTACCAAGAATAGACACTAAGCTACCAAGGATAGACACTAAGCTACCAAGGATAGACACTAAGCTACCAAGGATAGACACTAAGCTACCAAGAATAGACACTAAGCTACCAAGAATAGACACTAAGCTACCAAGAATAGACACTAAGCTACCAAGGATAGACACTAAGCTACCAAGGATAGACACTAAGCTACCAAGGATAGACACTAAGCTACCAAGGATAGACACTAAGCTACCAAGAGAATAGACACTAAGCTTACCAAGATAGACACTAAGCTACCAAGGATAGACACTAAGCTACCAAGAATAGGACACTAAGCTACAAGGAATAGACACTAAGCTACCAAGGATAGACACTAAGCTACCAAGGATAGACACTAAGCTACCAAGAATAGACACTAAGCTACAAGGAATAGACACTAAGCTACCAAGGAATAGACACTAAGCTACCAAGGATAGACACTAAGCTACCAAGAATAGACACTAAGCTACCAAGGAATAGACACTAAGCTACCAAGGATAGACACTAAGCTACCAAGGATAGACACTAAGCTACCAAGAATAGACCACTAAGCTACCAAGGATAGACACTAAGCTACCAAGAATAGACACTAAGCTACCAAGGATAGACACTAAGCTACCAAGGATAGACACTAAGCTACCAAGAATAGACACTAAGCTACCAAGGATAGACACTAAGCTACCAAGGATAGACACTAAGCTACCAAGGATAGACACTAAGCTACCAAGAATAGACACTAAGCCACCAAGAATAGACACTAAGCTACCAAGGATAGACACTAAGCTACCAAGGATAGACACTAAGCTACCAAGAATAGACACTAAGCTACCAAGGATAGACACTAAGCTACCAAGAATAGACACTAAGCTACCAAGGATAGACACTAAGCTACCAAGGATAGACACTAAGCTACCAAGAATAGACACTAAGCTACCAAGAATAGACACTAAGCTACCAAGGATAGACACTAAGCTACCAAGGATAGACACTAAGCTACCAAGAATAGACACTAAGCCACCAAGAATAGACACTAAGCTACCAAGGATAGACACTAAGCTACCAAGGATAGACACTAAGCTACCAAGAATAGACACTAGCTACCAAGGAATAGACACTAAGCTACCAAGAATAGACACTAAGCTACCAAGAATAGACACTAAGCTACCAAGGATAGACACTAATCTACCAAGAATAGACACTAAGCTACCAAGAATAGACACTAAGCTACCAAGGATAGACACTAAGCTACCAAGAGATAGACACTGAAAGCTACCAAGATAGACACTAAGCTACCAAGGATAGACACTAAGCTACCAAGATAGACACTAAAGCTACCAAGAATAGACACTAAGCTACCAAGGATAGACACTAAGCTACCAAGGATATGACACCTAGCTACCAAGATAGACACTAAGCTACCAAGGATAGACACTAAGCTACCAAGGATAGACACTAAGCTACCAAGAATAGACACTAAGCTACCAAGAATAGACACTAAGCTACCAAGGATAGACACTAAGCTACCAAGGATAGACACTAAGCTACCAAGGATAGACACAAGCTACCAAGATAGACACTAAGCTCCCAAGAATAGACACTAAGCTACCAAGATAGACACTAAGCTACCAGAATAGACACTAAGCTTACCAAGAATAGACACTAAGCTACCAAGGAATAGACACTAAGCTACCAAGGATAGACACTAAGCTACCAAGGATAGACACTAAGCTACCAAGAATAGACACTAAGCTACCAAGAATAGACACTAAGCTACCAAGGATAGACACTAAGCTACCAAGAATAGACACTAAGCTACCAAGGATAGACACTATAATACCATCGTCATCACAGGTGTCCAAAGTGTTTGAGATCATGGATCATGAAGAGATGCTAAAGGACATACCTGTATGTTTTCTAATATTTCACATCAAACTCTGGACAGATGAGAGGCGGAGCCACAAAGTTGACTGATTTCTCTTTTTATTGATAATTACATAAATTATTCAGGTACAGTGCAGCAGGACAGCTGCTGATTGGTCCATCCAGTCGCAGAGGGGAAGGTCAGGTGATCGGCCGGTTGGTCAGCTGGGAACAAAAAACAATGAGGACAGGTGAGACACAAAATACAAGGTAACTGGGCGTGGCTTAAACAGGCAGTCTGGTAACTAGGCGGGGCTTAAACTGACAGTGAGGTAACTGGGTGGGGCTTAAATAGTTAGCAAGTGACATGGGCGGGGCTTAAACTGACAGTAAGATACCTGGGCGGGGCTTTAACAGGAAGTGAAGCCCTTCCAGTAGAAGTTCTTGCACCCGGCTTTGCGTTCGCGGGGGGGCAGGCTGTTGGGGGGGTCGATGGATCGCTCCAGGTTAGTCTTCCCTCCCGTTGCCATGGAAACTACCTCTGCGTCGCGCTGGGCGGTGTTGGGAGGAAGAGACATCTGAGCCAGCAGGTCCTCGACCGCACGTTTACTCCAGTCCTGAAACCAGGGTTAGAGAGGGTTCAACATCAGGATCCATGTATCTGTGATCCTCTCCAGAATGGAAGGAGTCATCACATACAGAGCATCAACTAGTTCCTGAACAGTGTCCTTCACATGCTGATATCCAAGAGAGGGAGTTACACAGTCACAAGATGGAGGAATAGAAAGCAGTATTCAATGTTTACTTCAGATTAGCTCCACGTCAGAAATGAGCATGCTTGTCATATGTCTATCTCCATAGAGGCTGAATCATCATGTTCATCACATAGCTATCATATGCCTCAAACAGTCCTGATGCTCTTCTAGGTAATCATACATCCTGTCATGTTCACAGCTACAGTTGGGATACCTTTGTTATCATGTTACTCTCATGTTGGAAGAGGACATTAACACAGATCTGATATATGAAACACAAATAAAGGATTAACAAGCAGATGACAGACCCATGAGCTCGCCTCAAGAAACAAAAGAAATCCCTAAAAACCTTAAAGACAGAACAAATCCCTTTGTTGTCATGAAATAAGACACAACAAATACATAGGAGATATACAAAAAACTAAAAGACTCAATAAATGCCTTAAGGGACATATTAAATATCCCCAAAAAGATGTAAAAAACATCCATAAAAACAAGAACTATCCCATAATTGCCCCAAAAAATCTCCAGTTTTCTACATTGTTTTCACTTTTCTGTATCATCATCTTTTTCTGTAATGCTAAAACATTTTTCTCCATGTACCGCCTAATAATCAACATAACAACAAGCACTCGTTTGATTTGGCGGATCTTTTGAAATGTGGTTAAAGTTTTTGATGCATGTTGATGGACTACGTAGGTTTTGATCGTCAGCTTCTGTTTTGGAGGTTTGAAAATAAACCAAATGAACTTATTTTAGTTTGAAAACCTACATTGTAATGAAGACTGATTGATCAGCCCCATGACCTGCTTTAATCTAATGTAAACTGTGGAGCCTCAAAACGGACTGAACCATGATGAGACACCAGACTAACTCAGTGTGACGGGAACTGTGGACTCAGATTTGAGAAAACACAGGAGGAGAAAATGTTCTGGGGTTATCAGGAAACGATGTTTCACAACCTGTAATTACTTTGCTTTGTTGTTAGTCTTTACAAAAAAAAAAAACCCCGTTATGCTTCCCACTGTAGGACGCCATATTACAGACATTTAAAAAAATCGGATTCTATGTTTTGTGCATCGGTTTTCGGCGTCACACGTTTCAGACGTCCTGCAGTGTGTCTCACAACAGGAGCTCCCATTTCATCATTCAGAGCTCATCCATGCTGAAACAACGTGTGACATACAGCTGGGTGAGGACCCTTTGTATATCAGTATGTAGTGTCTCTGCTTTAAAGAGTCCTCTCCTGCTGATGTTCAGGTGTATATCAGTATGTAGTGTCTCTACTTTAAAGAGTCCTCTCCTTCTGATGTTCAGGTGTATATCAGTATGTAATGTCTCTACTTTAAAGAGTCCTCTCCTGCTGATGTTCAGGTGTATATCAGTATGTAGTGTCTCTACTTTAAAGAGTCCTCTCCTGCTGATGTTCAGGTGTATATCAGTATGTAGTGTCTCTACTTTAAAGAGTCCTCTCCTGCTGATGTTCAGGTGTATATCAGTATGTAGTGTCTCTACTTTAAAGAGTCCTCTCCTTCTGATGTTCAGGTGTATATCAGTATGTAATGTCTCTACTTTAAAGAGTCCTCTCCTGCTGATGTTCAGGTGTATATCAGTATGTAGTGTCTCTACTTTAAAGAGTCCTCTCCTGCTGATGTTCAGGTGTATATCAGTATGTAGTGTCTCTACTTTAAAGAGTCCTCTCCTGCTGATGTTCAGGTGTATATCAGTATGTAGTGTCTCTACTTTAAAGAGTCCTCTCCTTCTGATGTTCAGGTGTATATCAGTATGTAATGTCTCTACTTTAAAGAGTCCTCTCCTGCTGATGTTCAGGTGTATATCAGTATGTAGTGTCTCTACTTTAAAGAGTCCTCTCCTGCTGATGTTCAGGTGTATATCAGTATGTAGTGTCTCTACTTTAAAGAGTCCTCTCCTGCTGATGTCCAGGTGTATATCAGTATGTAGTGTCTCTACTTTAAAGAGTCCTCTCCTGCTGATGTTCAGGTGTATATCAGTATGTAGTGTCTCTACTTTAAAGAGTCCTCTCCTGCTGATGTTCAGGTGTATATCAGTATGTAGTGTCTCTACTTTAAAGAGTCCTCTCCTGCTGATGTTCAGGTGTATATCAGTATGTAGTGTCTCTACTTTAAAGAGTCCTCTCCTGCTGATGTTCAGGTGTATATCAGTATGTAGTGTCTCTACTTTAAAGAGTCCTCTCCTGCTGATGTCCAGGTGTATATCAGTATGTAGTGTCTCTACTTTAAAGAGTCCTCTCCTGCTGATGTTCAGGTGTATATCAGTATGTAGTGTCTCTACTTTAAAGAGTCCTCTCCTGCTGATGTTCAGGTGTATATCAGTATGTAGAGTCTCTACTTTAAAGAGTCCTCTCCTGCTGATGTTCAGGTGTATATCAGTATGTAGTGTCTCTACTTTAAAGAGTCCTCTCCTGCTGATGTTCAGGTGTATATCAGTATGTAGTGTCTCCACTTTAAAGAGTCCTCTCCTGCTGATGTTCAGGTGTATATCAGTATGTAGTGTCTCTACTTTAAAGAGTCCTCTCTTGCTGATGTTCAGGTGTATATCAGTATGTAGTGTCTCTACTTTAAAGAGTCCTCTCCTGCTGATGTTCAGGTGTATATCAGTATGTAGTGTCTCTACTTTAAAGAGTCCTCTCCTGCTGATGTTCAGGTGTATATCAGTATGTAGTGTCTCTACTTTAAAGAGTCCTCTCTTGCTGATGTTCAGGTGTATATCAGTATGTAGTGTCTCTACTTTAAAGAGTCCTCTCCTGCTGATGTTCAGGTGTATATCAGTATGTAGTGTCTCTACTTTAAAGAGTCCACTCCTGCTGATGTTCAGGTGTATATCAGTATGTAGTGTCTCTACTTTAAAGAGTCCTCTCCTGCTGATGTTCAGGTGTATATCAGTATGTAATTTCTCTACTTTAAAGAGTCCTCTCCTGCTGATGTTCAGGTGTATATCAGTATGTAGTGTCTCTACTTTAAAGAGTCCTCTCCTGCTGATGTTCAGGTGTATATCAGTATGTAGTGTCTCTACTTTAAAGAGTCCTCTCCTGCTGATGTTCAGGTGTATATCAGTATGTAGTGTCTCTACTTTAAAGAGTTCTCTCCTGCTGATGTTCAGGTGTATATCAGTATGTAGTGTCTCTACTTTAAAGAGTTCTCTCCTGCTGATGTTCAGGTGTATATCAGTATGTAGTGTCCCTACTTTAAAGACTACTTTTAGTCCTGACAGTTTCAGGACTAAAACCACCAGACTCAGAGACAGTTTCATCCCAAAGAACATCCATAACATTCATCTGTTGCAACTTATATATATCAATATTCCAATTACTTGTATATAGAATATTCTGCACTGTATTTCCTTAGTTGTATTGTGTTCTGCTGGAGGAGCCTGTGACCTCAGATTTTCATTGACAATAAAAGCCTTGAATCTCATCTCATCTCACCTGTGACAGGAGTCCGGCGCTGCGAGCACGTTGAAGCAGACGATGGTGACGCAACTCCAGATCCAGGTCCAGGTCCTGGTTCTGATACTGGTCCTGGTTCTGGTCCTGGTCTCTGTCGGCCTGTGAGGAAACACCCGGGCCGAACAGAACCAACGCCACGACGACCAAGATGGCAGGAAAACGAACGCACTGCATACCTGCCGGGAGAAGACAAACACAGGTGAGGAACTCAACCAATCAGAGCGAAGCTGAGGAGAGAGGAAGGCCCGTACTAAGAGAAGATCAAATGAGATAAGAAGTACTTTATTGATCCCAATTTGGGAAATGTTTGCGTTGCAGTAGCATAAAAAGACAATACAAAATAAAAGACTAGAAATAAACCATTGAAAATGTAAACATGTCTCAATAGAAATAAAATAGCATAAGTAGAAAATATACGTGTTGAATTACAAATGTATAGTAACAGAATATAAAGTAGGGTGTTATACATACTTTCTGCTGGTCTGGGTTCTTCTTCTTCTTCTTCTGCTTCTTCTTCTTCTGCTGCTGGGAGTTCTGGATCTGGGATGGTTCTCTGGCCCTGGTGCTCGTGGTGCCGCTCTTTTAAAGTCCTCCTGCAGGTCACATGACGTCGGGTGTTTTGATTGACAGCCGGCGGGCGTGCACGGCGACGGAGGAATGTCGGAACAAACGTCCATTAGTCCTTATTGACTTTTAATGGAGTGTGAACAATAAAACAATAAAACTATCAGCGAGGCTGTGTTGAACACACACAACGGCAGAATGTCCGGCTGAAGAGCGGGGGATTAACGAAGCGTCGGGAGGATTAGCAGAATTCATTAGCACTCGCTGATATCTCCATTAAACAAAGAGGCAGCAGCAGAGTCGCCCACTCCACATTTAGTGAGAACAAACACCACTTTAAAACTCTTTGTGTTCTGCAGAGGAGACTCACGGCGTGTTTATCTCCAGGAAGAGAAGTGCAGAAAGTAAAGTTTAGCTGAGATCTGAACACCGGCGAGGAGACGTTAGCATTGGAGGAAGCCAGGCTCGTGTTCTGTGTGCTTTCAGTGGTAAAGTGTGTGAACATGTGAATACAATGTTAACAGCTTCAGAATACAGAGAGGATTTACAGTTCGGCTGAGAGACGAGGAGAAACTGTTCTGGAGAAAAGGTTCAGGTATTCCGTAAAAAGAGATTTCTATAACATCTGAAAATGTTCTGGAAAGAAGTCGTAATAATTCAAGAAAGATGATTACGTGGAGAAACAGACTGGTGTTATATTGAAAAAGAAAAGTCTTAATATGTAAAGGATAAACGGCCTCTAAGGATCTGGATAAACCTGTTGACCCTACAGGTTAAAGACTAGCTGACAGATATCACCATGAAACACTCCGGACATTAACACAGTGATCTTTTATATTACACGTTTTCTGACATGTTATGTTTGAATATGCTAATGAGCGTTATGTAATGCACATTTTCTGTGAATTTAGGAGAAGTCTGCAGACACAGAGTTAGTGAAATAAACTCCTGAAGGTGATTGGTCTTTCTTCACAAGTCTGAAAGAAGACACAACATATTGATCAGTGCATTTAAAAAGAAAAAACACATTTCTCCGAGTAGTGGATGAACGTCTTTAAAGGGAAACGTCGAGGATGGTGGCGCTGCAACGGCTTAAACGATTGGGAAAAACGTACCTAAAATGTTTTATGGTCTTATTTGAACAATGTGATCACATGACTCCTTCTGATGTTACTGCAGATCTGCTGTAAGCTAGCTAGCTAACGTAGCTAACCTAGTCATTAGCTACATAGCCAACACTTACAGTTATGAGACGACTAACTCTGAGACAGAGACAGTTGCTTTATAATCCCCCCCCAAAAAAAGGCATCGCAACTTCTCGTTATTTTTTCTTCTTTTAGTTCCCAAAATTACATTAATTTATTTTATTTTGGGAATCAATTGTTTTTTTTCGTCAACTTTCTTTTGGCCACATTTTTTTTGTCTGGCCCAGACAGCGGCTCGTCTAACATCTGGCCCAGACAGCGGCTCGTCTAACATCTGGCCCAGACAGCGGCTCGTCTAACATCTGGCCCAGACAGCGGCTCGTCTAACATCTGGCCCAGACAGCGGCTCGTCTAACATCTGGCCCAGACAGCGGCTCGTCTAACATCTGGCCCAGACAGCGGCTCGTCTAACATCTGGCCCAGACAGCGGCTCGTCTAACATCTGGCCCAGACAGCGGCTCGTCTAACATCTGGCCCAGACAGCGGCTCGTCTAACATCTGGCCCAGACAGCGGCTCGTCTAACATCTGGCCCAGACAGCGGCTCGTCTAACATCTGGCCCAGACAGCGGCTCGTCTAACATCTTGTGGATTTACTCCAGGTGGAACTAAAGTCTGATTTAACACTTGGTTATATTTCACATCATTCATCCACATCTGTGAAGTAACTAAAGGTATTCAATACATGTAGTGGAGGAAAAGTACACCATGTACCTCTGAACTGTAGAGGAGTAGAAGTACACCATGTACCTCTGAACTGTAGAGGAGTAGAAGTACACCATGTACCTCTGAACTGTAGAGGAGTAGAAGTACACCATGTACCTCTGAACTGTAGAGGAGTAGAAGTACTCCATGTACCTCTGAACTGTAGAGGAGTAGAACACAGTAACATAACATGGAAATACTCAAGTAAAGTACAAGTACCTCCAAATTGTACTTAAGTACAGTACTTGAGTAACTGAGCTTAGTTACTTTACACCTCTGCTCATATTTAAATTAGAGAGACATCAATTCGGCAAGTGTTACGCCCCGCTGTTAAAATGTCCCAGTGGGGCTAACATCCACCACTGACCCAAAAACACACAGAAAAACACCTTGAGGTCATCATAGGATTTATTACAAGTAAACATGGTGAAATATACAAATACCCATCCTATAGGCTAAGAGGCAGAACCACAGCAAAGACATGAACATAAACACAGTCAGAGAGGACGTTAATGTGAGGTACGACTGTGGCTGAGCGGGAGTGTGGTCGTCCTCCAACCAGCAGGTTGTTGGTTCGATTCCAGCCCTTAAGTCAACATGTGGATGTGTCCTCGGGCAAGATACTGAACCCTGAGGTGTGTGTGTGTGTGTGTGTGTGTGTGTGTGTGTGTGTGTGTGTGTGTGTGTGTGTGTGTGTGTGTGTGTGTGTGTGTGTGTGTGTGTGTGTGTGTGTGTGTGTGTGTGTGTGTGTGTGTGTGTGTGTGTGTGTGTGTGTGTGTGTGTGTGTGTGTGTGTGTAGCTTGGAGGGGTCCATTTAAGCAAAAAAGTTGCTGTAAAAACAGATAATAAACAGAAGAGCTCTTCAGTCATGAGTTTATTCGGGAAATTACAAAATAATGTTGACAAACACAACGAAGGAGTCTGATCAAATCCAGTATTAAAACATTGAAGAACAGGTTGAGTTTAAGGGGGATTCTTTTAGTGTCTCGACCACCTTCGTCTTCCTCGTCTTCGGCACTTTCTCTAAATGCTAATAAACGGCACATTAGCAGCAGCCGGTTGCCGGGGTGACACATTAACAGTGAGCAGTGTTGCTAAGGAGCCGACGGTATGAACACACACACACACACACACACACACACACACACACACACACACACACACACACACACACACACACACACTCTGAGTCACAGGAAAACATTTTAATTGAATTTAGACGGAGGTCTGTGGTGAGTGATTTAAAAATAGTAATTTAAATTCTGGGAACAATAATAACATGCAGCGTTTATTTATTTTTATTTGTGTTTTAGATTACAGGAAAAGGAGCTTCAATGCTTCCTTTACTACCTCCTTTAGGAAACATTGGACCTTCCTTTACAAAAGGAAAGGAGAAAGTGCAGGACTCTTTAAAGTAGAGACACTACATACTGATATACACCTGAACATCAGCAGGAGAGGACTCTTTAAAGTAGAGACACTACATACTGATATACACCTGAACATCAGCAGGAGAGGACTCTTTAAAGTAGAGACACTACATACTGATATACACCTGAACATCAGCAGGAGAGGACTCTTTAAAGTAGAGACACTACATACTGATATACACCTGAACATCAGCAGGAGAGTACTCTTTAAAGTAGAGACACTACATACTGATATACACCTGAACATCAGCAGGAGAGGACTCTTTAAAGTAGAGACACTACACACTGATATGCACCTGAACATCAGCAGGAGAGGACTCTTTAAAGTAGAGACACTACATACTGATATACACCTGAACATCAGCAGGAGAGGACTCTTTAAAGTAGAGACACTACATACTGATATACACCTGAACATCAGCAGGAGAGGACTCTTTAAAGTAGAGACACTACATACTGATATACACCTGAACATCAGCAGGAGAGGACTCTTTAAAGTAGAGACACTACATACTGATATACACCTGACCATCAGCAGGAGAGGACTCTTTAAAGTAGAGACACTACATACTGATATACACCTGAACATCAGCAGGAGAGGACTCTTTAAAGTAGAGACACTACATACTGATATACAACTGAACATCAGCAGGAGAGGACTCTTTAAAGTAGAGACACTACATACTGATATACACCTGAACATCAGCAGGAGAGGACTCTTTAAAGTAGAGACACTACATATTGATATGAACCTGAACATCAGCAGGAGAGGACTCTTTAAAGTAGAGACACTACATACTGATATACACCTGAACATCAGCAGGAGAGGACTCTTTAAAGTAGAGACACTACATACTGATATACACCTGAACATCAGCAGGAGAGGACTCTTTAAAGTAGAGACACTACATACTGATATACACCTGAACATCAGCAGGAGAGGACTCTTTAAAGTAGAGACACTACATACTGATATACACCTGAACATCAGCAGGAGAGTACTCTTTAAAGTAGAGACACTACATACTGATATACACCTGAACATCAGCAGGAGAGGACTCTTTAAAGTAGAGACACTACACACTGATATGCACCTGAACATCAGCAGGAGAGGACTCTTTAAAGTAGAGACACTACATACTGATATACACCTGAACATCAGCAGGAGAGGACTCTTTAAAGTAGAGACACTACATACTGATATACACCTGAACATCAGCAGGAGAGGACTCTTTAAAGTAGAGACACTACATACTGATATACACCTGAACATCAGCAGGAGAGGACTCTTAAAGTAGAGACACTACATACTGATATACACCTGACCATCAGCAGGAGAGGACTCTTTAAAGTAGAGACACTACATACTGATATACACCTGAACATCAGCAGGAGAGGACTCTTTAAAGTAGAGACACTACATACTGATATACAACTGAACATCAGCAGGAGAGGACTCTTTAAAGTAGAGACACTACATACTGATATACACCTGAACATCAGCAGGAGAGGACTCTTTAAAGTAGAGACACTACATATTGATATGAACCTGAACATCAGCAGGAGAGGACTCTTTAAAGTAGAGACACTACATACTGATATACACCTGAACATCAGCAGGAGAGGACTCTTTAAAGTAGAGACACTACATACTGAT